TACGCTTTCAAGTGTCTTTTGCATTTATGTATATCACAAGTTATGCTGTTATTATAAATCCTGCATTTTTAATCATTTTCCTTTACAAACTCATTAAAGATGAATCTATCACCAATTTGATGTAATATTTATTGATTGGCGTCTGAACCGCCGAGATGAGCTTTGTACTTTTAATTCATTTTAGTGCCAACCTCTTTTCCCATTCTTTTCGGAGGTGATAAAGCAGCGAAGAGCTAATGAGATTAAAGGACAATAATGATGTCGTTAGGAAGATAATGAGAAAATAGGAAGTTTCTTAAAATTCTCAGACAGATAAAGAGAGAAGATAAGCTGGGGAGCGGAGAATTCCTCAAATTCCTGACGGGGAGCAGACAGTCATCTTTATTTTAATAGAAGCATAAACGTACAGTTTGAGTAGGGTGAAAATGTTTGCAATATATCTCATTCTGCTTAAACTGAAAATGCTATTATATATGTTTATATTGCTGTGATATATATTTACACTGCTACGATATAGGATTTGCATATAACCGAATATATTTACTATCTCGCTATATATATATACATATAGAAATATAATGATAGTAAATAACTGTGGGTTAAGAAACCTTTTTATTACAGTATAAAAATAATAATAATTAAATACCAACGTGGTTTATTTCTTATATTAAGGTTGCTGCAATTTATGCAATATTAACTATCATTGTAAAATTTAGGACAAAAAGATAGGAAACGGTTTTCAAATAACCGTTTCCTATTTTGTACCTCAGTTATTCAGAAGACTTGCTTTCGTAACTCTTAAGACAACAAAATTTACAATACTCAAGAATCACAATACTTAAGCAGAAACAAATGGTACAAAATAAGATTTTAAAAAAGATTCAAATAAAAACTGATAAAATTTGTTTGAGGCAGTAATCTTAAAAATTAAAAATCAAACAGCCTGAAAAGGCCAAATGAACTATTTAAATTTTAAATATAAGAAAAGAAAATAGTTGGAGCTAACCCATACTTAGGTAGATATGGAGTAGATAATGCAGAAAATGGCAGTTGAATCCTACATAGAAGTTTCATAATGAAAACTACATGGCGAAGCAAAACTGCATGACATGAATTCGTTCGTCTTTGAATCATGGTATGTCTCGAAAGGAATTTTTCACATAATTTTGATGAAGGCACATACACGCCTGGTAGAGCCGCCCAACCGGGGTAGTGGTTAGCGCAGCTGACTGCCATACCGAAGGGCCCGGGTTCGAATCCCAGAGAAGGCAGAAATGTTTTAAATGCGCGGCATGGGAACACTCAAAATATGCGGCGAGTCGAAATTCCTCTCGAGAGGTTGGAGTAGGGGAAAAGGATTTGGAGATCCTTGGACTTCCCCCCCGGGGTCCTCTTCATCAAAATTGGGGACGGAACTGCGTAAAGTCGTGCTGTCACCTGTATAGTGCCCAAGGTTCTTGCCAACGCCGAGCGCCATCTTGATCCCTTGCCATGATGAATTTCATGGGCTTGCACTGATATCAGAGACCTGATCTGATGTTACTATCTGTCGGCTGGGATAGGCCACAAGCAATCAAACAAACACGCCTGGTAGCTCGGGAATACGTCTTACTGAATTATACTCACGGTGTAGGTGTTAAGCGGTTTGCGTATTTCAATCATCAGCTCCAGATGTTAGATACAAATTTGCTAACTTCGTATTTGCGAAATCTTCTGTTCCACTCTCTGCGGGCAGTTATCAAATGACTGTTTTCTTGCGAGGACGTTTTACCAATCATCCCTCTATCACTTTACGATTGCGTTTCCGACCCTGCATAAGTATATGATCCTGATTCATCTTTCACGCGGCAGAGCATTGACGTGTATATATGAATATATAATAACATAGATCAAAATTATGTATCTATTTAAATAAAATATTTCAAACTTCTAGAGAATTTTATTTCTCTGCGAACACACATATGTAGGTTGACAGTAAAGTAACCACCAAAAGCCATTGAGAAAAACAGCTCGAGTGGAAAATGCAAAACTAAAAGATAAATGTTCTATTATTAACGGAGCAGAACAAATAGAAAAAAATATATGATAGGCTTTTCAGGCGTCATTAGCGACTAGTTCTAAAAGCATTCAGGTTAAAAACGGCACATCTGATTCCGGCCATAGATAAGGTTTTTTAATAATTACATTTTGAAATAAAAAATCAGTTTACACAACAATATATTTCATATAATTCATATAATTCATTTCCAGAACCGGAACTGTGGCTCTGTGATCGATGTTTAATAAAAATATATTGCCGAAACTGACCTGAAAATATACCTGACGTATATGCAAGCCAACTGCAAAAATATTTTAACAAATTTAATGTTAAAAGGTAAAATCTAGTGAATTACAAAAATGTCTAAAAAAATCAGCAACTAAAGATACAAAAACTGCTTTTGATTTCTGAAGGTCTCTTGGGCCCCAATGAGAACCACAAAAAGTAGATAAAATTTACTTTTTATTTGTTCTTTTTCAGACTTTATTTGAATTACTAACCGGTTGTATAGTCAAACACTTAAAAAAAGCACTTACAAGAAAAACAATATATATATATATAAAAGGAATTTGAGGCATCCAATTAAATTCCTTGATTCTGTCTAGTATAATTTCAGAAAAATATGTAATGATTTTATTAATAAACCAAAATTATCCGTTTTTAATTACTCTGATTAAATTAATCCTTTCAGTCTATCGACGACGTTAATGACTTCAGATGCATAGAAATTATACTATGAGCATAATATACGGTTTCTTAACTGTACCAACCGCTTTAATCGCGCTCTGAATGATGATGAAAAATGTTTTAAAATATTTTATCTTCCAGTCCACAAACCTATCTTGTCATCTAACAATTAAATATGCAATATAATGTAAGGATCACCTCATTTTTTTCCGAAAGACATTGTCGACTGCACTCAAGAGCCAAAACATTATGACCACCTGTCAATAACGAGTTGGGCCACCTTTGGCGCGCAACACAGCTTCAACCCGCCTTGGTCCTCATGGATGCCTCAAGTCCTTGATAGATGGATGGAGACAGATTGTACCAGGTGTTGTAGCAACGATCACGCAAATCCGAAATACTGCGAATTGGTGGTCTTTGACCTCTGAGCTACCGTCCCATGACATCCCAAATGTGTTCTATCGGATTGAGATCCGGTGAGTTAGGCGGCCAGGACATTAACTGGAAATCAGCATCATGTTCCTGGAACCACTCCAACACAATTGTAGCCTTGGGACATGGGGCGTTGTCCTGTTGGAACATTCCATTTCCAGCTGGAATAAACAGAGGTCATGTAAGGGTGCAATTGGTCCGCAATGATGTTCAGATACCCTGTAGCATTCATGGTCTGCTCTACCACAACCACGGATCCCAGAGACGCCCAAGAGAACGTCCTCCAGAGCATAACACCGCCACCACCGGCCTGTGTATGACCTACTGTGCATTGAGGAAGCAACTGTTTGCCTGGAAGATGGCGTATCCTGACACGGCCATCGGCGTGATGAATGACAAACCGTGATTTATCTGACCAGGCAACTCTCTCCCACTGATCCATGGACCAGTCGCGATGTTCCCGGGCCCAGCGCAGGTGCAGTTGGCGATGACGCTTGATCAGCAAAGGCACACGAGTGGGACGTTTGCTGCGTAGCCCCATATCTAACAGTGTCCGCTGAACAGTGTGCTCCGATACTTTTCTACTTGGCCCTGCATTGTATTCGGCTGTCAGCTGAGCCACTGTCTAGCTTCGATTTTGCTTCACCATGCGAGACAGTCTGCGACGACCTTTTTCTTTGATAGTGTGTTGAAGTCCAACACCACGTCGTCTACTGCTGCTTTCACTGTCATTCATCCACTTTTCATACGTACTAACAACTGTAGATCGCAAACAACCCATGAGTCGTGCAGTTTCGGAAATACTTGTTCCGAGCCTTCGAGCCATTACAATCTGCCCTCTATCAAAGTCGCTTAGATCCGCAGCCTTTCCCATCACACACAGAAGTAAGTGAAAGAATGATTCTTCAGACTCTACAGCAGCATATAAATACCACTTCCACCTGTTCACGAGCCTTCCACGTCATGCAGGCGCGTTCATTGCAAAATGTAGGGCTGGTCATAATGTTTTGGCTTTTGAGTGTATATTTGATTACTTTTGGTATGGTATTCTACTTTTTTCAGTATATATACTGATAATACACTCATTAGCTCAAGCATGAGTTGTTTCACTTTTCTTTGCTTTGTCGACGCAGTCAAGAGAACTTTTGATGCATTTTGCAGATGCTAGGAGACAGACATATAAAAATCTAAAGAAGAAATGTAAAGAGCTATTGCTAATTAAGTTAGTAATTTATTAGATATTCATTTTATTATTTTTATTTTCTACACACACATATCTATCTATCTATATCTCTATCTATATATATACGCGCTAATATTTAAGGCTTCATTTCCTTAAATATTAATCTTAGCTGTGCAATTTCAATCACAAAACTTCCTAAAATCGAAAAAAATATTACAAAAACATTTTCAGCACTATATGAGAAAATGTTCTTTTTAAATAAAACGTTTATGCGGCCTTCGTGAAGTAAACATGTTAATAGTATTATGACCTAATATCTAAAACTGAGCTAATTCGCATGATGCATGCAGTCAGACTGTAGAGACATTAGGTATTTTTGAAGCAGGAGAGATGAAAAATGAGGAACGCCTTCTCCGGTAATCGAAACACGGACCTCTGAAATACGCGCCTGGCACGCAGACCACTACACCACGAAGGCACGCTAAGAAGGCGGGAGAAATACCTTATATACTTCCCCTTTTAAAGGGCGACTGAGGTTTTTAGTGACCAGTTGCTAAATCCTGGGTGTGAAAAATCATCACCGATTACAGCTTTTTTAGTTCGGGCGCCAGTGTAGAGACATTAGGTATTTTTTAAGCAGGAGAGAGGAAGAAGGAGCAACGCCTTCGCCTGGAATCGAACCATGAACCTCTGGAATCCGAGCCCAGCATGCAGACCACTACACCACGAAGGCACTCTCAGAAGGCGGGAGAAACACCTTATATGATAAGATGTCTTAAAATAACTAACCGTAATGTCGCATTTGCTTACCAAAGTCTTCTTTGTAGCAAAATATCTCAGTGTTTCATTTTTAATGATCTGTATGGTCATTTGTACTGATAGCGATAGCTTATCACTGGACTTTTAAATTCGGATAATGTATTTTGCTTTTTAAGGTGAATATTACATGAACAAAATTACATGAAAAGCTAACCTCACTCATATCTCGTCGTCAATCTTCAGTTTTCTGAGCCTTATAATTCGTGATGGTAAACCGATTACTATTACAAATTGTTTGAAATTTTTCTGAAGCTCTTTTATACTTCATGTAAATAAAGATCTTTTCAGTAAAGCATAAGGTTTAAGTTTTAGCTCTCGGACAAAATCAAAAACGTTCTCTATGCCAAGTGTAAAAGATTGTCGCTTGGATTAGGTTTCTTTACTAAAGCTAAACGAAAAAGATTTCTTTATCCAAGGAATAGGCTTATCTCACCGGTTTTCTACAAACTAGAGCCTTCCTGTGCGTTATTTTATCTTGTGAGGTTAATCTAACTACATTTAATTTTAGTTCAGCATCACTTGTTTAAGTTAAGCCAGAAGTGTTGGATTGTGTCAGCCGAAGTGGAGCCGTTTGCGAAAATCTTTGTGTTTGAATAAAAACGTTTTATACTCCCTTCTTCTGACTTATTTGTATCATAAGACTTGAAGATAATCATTCGACAATCTTTTTTAAACTCGTTTGTGTATGCTTCCTAAGCATACTAGACCCTATAAGGCTTAACATAACTTACATCATAAAGGTACTGGTCTAGGGGGAAGATCCTGAATTACAAAAAGTTTAAAGGTTGCGTGTTCGCGAAAAGCAAAGCCATCGTATTTTTTTATATTTTACACACACACATATATATAAATGGCATAAAACATTTTTATAGTACGAAAGTAAACTCGAAGCTATTTCATCTCTCTAAAGATGATCCATTACTTTCGGATGCAAATTTCTCGAATACATCTGATAATAAACCCATGCTGGAAAACGGGAGAAAAAAGGTTGGGGAAATAATGATTGAATGAAAGAATGAATGAATAAGCAACGAAGTTAAAATTAAACCGAGTATTAATATTAATTAAAATTAATACGTAAAGTTTTATTAATTACTAGAATTATGCAATTAAATTGGAGTTATGGATTAAATCCGAAATAGAAGACTGTCGGATTAAATGAAACCTGAAATAACTGCAGATGACAGATTTCTTCATAAAAAGTGATTGATCACAAAACTGTTAATTAGAAAGATTTGATGTGACAAGTTTAAGCCAAGAAAATTAGGAAAAATTGATAGAGTGGCTCTCATTTGTACAGATTACCTAAGAAGTTTAATACAGTTTTTCTTAAATTTTGATAAACTGAGTTTATGCTGGAACTTTATTGGGATATTCATCATTTTACTTAAGATTTACTGAAGGTTTTATAATAACTAATGTCGTCGCTTTATTTTAAAACATTAGATTGAATGTTCGCGGTGTTATTAAACCAGCTATGGCAGTTAAGATATATCGTAATGGACATATGCAAAAAAAAAAAAAAGTGTTAAGTTGAATTCTTTCATTTGAAAACATGTTAATAGTAACTGCGCAGAGATGTATAGTATGTCTGAAGCACAGATCATAAGAAACCAACTGTAGCTTTACCGGAATTCAAATCATAGATTTGCCTGTTAGTAGTTTGACGTGCTAACCACTTGCATTACAAGATCAAGCGCAAGGAAAAGCGATAATTCCCTATATTCTCACCCACTAATAAAGTGACAGGAGAGAGAATGCAGACTGAGTCGATCAATCCAAGGCCAAGTTCCATCAGACCAAGTTCTTAAAATGTATCATGGCGAGGAATGCAGGATTGCCGCTTCTGTCATTGACAATATGAATCTGCGGAGCTCAGTTAAGTTTGAAGGGAAGTACTAATATTTGGTTCTCGTTTTTCCCTACCACCAAGCCATTCGAGAGAACTTTTACCTAGTCATGCATTTTAAATGCTTCCGTTCCAAAGATACTATACACGTAAAGAAATCTAAGTACGTGTATAGTACCTTTGTGGCACGGGAATACCTTTGTAGCACGGTAAGTAATCCTTCTTTGGGAATCGAGCCTGGATAGAAACAGACATCATTCATCAACGCTAATCACTATACCGATCAAAAGAGGATCGCTACTATAGAGATATGTAATATTATTGAAGAAGGTAATATAAAAAATCAACTGCGCCTTTATTAGGTCTGAAACCAGAGTTCTTCCTTTGCTAGTTGAACTTGCTAACTAATTGTTTCACAGCAGAAAGCATAGGAGAATGCGATAATCCTTTTTAAAATTAATTCAATACAGTCAATAGGCTCCTTGCAGAGCTGATATTCTCCTTAATTTGCTTTCGTACAATTAATTCATAATGAGCAAGCAAAGGTAACTGGCAAAATGATTACATATTTCAAGCTAACTGAAGCATATACTATGTCTATAACAATTATGCTGAATTGAACTTCTTATAGTTTTAAACTATATAAAGCTTATTTTCAGGCCACTGCACAATAAAGACCATCCTTAGGTAGGAAAAGCAATTTTCATTTGAAACGATGTAAACTTGCACATAACAATTTTCTTAACTACAGGTAGTGCCTGTATTAGAATATGCAGGATAACATAATGTTCAGAAGATCCTGATTAATCAAAAATTAATTAAGCTTTTAGAGACATAACAAATGCTCCTTTGTAGGATAAATATACCGTAATGAAACACAACCTCAGAATCCGAACCATTGCAGATTTTATCAAAAATAATTAAATTGAATAAAACTGCTGAAGAAGTTGAAATACGCATTTAAAAAATACGAGAGAGAATCCATTCCCATTGGTAAGGCATAAATTATAAGGGATTTTCTCACTACCTTCTGCATGTCTTCGTGGTGTAACAGTTAGCACACTCGGCGCATATCAAGGGATCCAGATTCGAGTACCGGAGAGGGCATTGCTCATTGTTCATGTCTCCTGCTTTAAAAATTAACTTAGTGGCGCCTGAACTGAAAGATGGCGAATGATAATTCGTCATTACCAAGATTTGGCGACTGGGTCTCCTAATCCACAGAAGCCCATTTAAAGGAGATATTTTCTCTCTCCTTTCTGCACCCCTTCGTGGTGTAATGGCTAGCACACTCGGCGCGTATTCGAGAGGTCCAGGCTCGAGTTCCGACGAGGGCATTGATCACTTTTCAAGTCTCCTGTTCAAAATACCTAATGACTTAAACCATGTACTGCAATAATTTCCATTACCAATTTATTTTACTAAATTCTCAAACTTATATTTAAGGCTTTACAATCTATACTTATATATATATATACAATCTATACAATCTATATATACATACATTGGAAATCTCCACCTAAAGATGACACATTGAAATGCTACCTGCTTCCATCCAGACACGAATACACGTGTCATTGCTATCACAATGTTTCTATAGTAATTAATATAATTTCTGCAACATTTAAATAGTTTAAAATACTAGTTTCTGTAGTATATAAATATGTTGTTTCATTAAATGAAGGAGAATATTATAAGCGGAGAAAGAAGAAGACTATGGAGAAAAATGAAGGGAAGAATTTGAGATTTTCTGCGCTTGAGAAATTATAGTGTTTGAGATAATATTTCATCCTTGCTTTTAGTATTACAATACTATAATGATTTTGTGTAGTTTAAGATTAATTACGATATACCATTTTCATACTTCTGCAAAATTCTAATAAAGAGCTTACGTTAATTTTATAATGTGCTATGAAGAGCATCAACACTTATATTTAAACCTTGCATTCTAGCTGCCATTTTACATTATCTCACTCGTCAAATAACAAATTAATAAATTATTCAAAATTTCACATGTTAAGCGTAGCTCCATATAGTACAGTCACTTTAGGATTTTACTTTTGAATTCACACATGAAATAGCATGTGTGATAACCAACTTTTAACTAATAATACAGGCTTTAGAACAGAAATTTAAAAGTTTAATTTTAATAATTATAAGGTGACATTTAACTATCGCTATCAGTTAAATAATAAGTAATATTTATTTTTGTTGTATTTTATTTCTTCTCTACAGTATTAAATTAGCCAACACATGGAGATTTACCGATATAAAGGGCCAAAAGTTTTCAATTTTGCATTCATACTCACACCATGTTATTTTGATACAACAAACATAAACATAAACGTCTTTAATGTGCCTAGTACCTGTAAATGGGCATAATACTCATACATATATATAGGCCTAATACTCATATATATATGTAGGTCTAATGCTCGTACATATATGTAAGCCTAATACTCATTCAATGGGCAAAATACTTATACAAACTTCCGATTGGTTCAATATTTCCAGAGTCAAGCAATAAATTTCTCGAGAGAAAAGTTTTGACAGTCGCATTATTTCCCAATTTTCGAATTATAATTTAAATCACTAGGGCTTAAAATTAAATCATTTGAAAATTCGATTTATTTTATATGCAATATGGGAAGCCTCTTGTGAATTATAATGTCAAGTAATATATTCCAATATCATATGTCCATGCTGTCTTTCACATGAGAAGGACTTTAAATGTCATAAACTTCAGTATTAAATAGTAAAATACTACTGTTTTCAATACAGCATCGTATCTTATGAAATCAGGCATCTTTCAAGTGAGTAAATCTTACATAATCATAAAATGAAAAAGTAGAAATTTCATGTTCAATATTCTATGAAATATGCCGTATACCTAACGTCGTTTACATAAGAGGTTTTAACATAACCATAAACTGAGCGGTAAATAATAAAAAAATACTTATTATGCTCAACATGATATCGTAAAAAATTTCCTATATTTCACATGAGAAGACTTCATGTAATGATGTAATTAGATAGCAAATAACGAACTCTTAACTTAAATGTGA